GTGATTTGGTAATTATATAAACAATTTGATTGTATATAATACACTGTATTAATAAATAAATGATTACTTCTGGCGCAATGAGTCATGTGATCAATAACTTTGTCCAAATCAGTCAAAATGGTTTTATGGATGTCTCTGACGTACACCTCTTTGCACGTACACTCGAAACGATGGGAATATTCTGGTTTAGTCAACAAACTAAGCAATTGCTCGGCAAGTGTTTGGTAGTAGACGTCCCCCTGACGGTAGATCAGTCCGAAGTGATACCAATTGAGGTGTGATAAGAAGGCCAGTATAGCCCGGGCCTCATCCCAGAGGTCATATGAGGCCCGAATCAATGTGCTATAAGTGGATCGCTCGCCATAAATCACATCACCTAAACCTGTCAATAATGGGATTCCCTTATATGATGCCAGACGTCCCACAACCTTATGATCGCAATTATCATTATATAATCATTTCATGGTACCAACAATTACTATGCTAATCAAATAATAAATGTATCTATTGAAACCTGGAGATCATCACTACATGCCGGCCCTATAAATGCTATAATGTTATTATTTTGAACCAAATCCACTGCCTGTCCCAATGATGCCGTCTCATTGCATGTATCGACATAATTGCCTAAAAATTCGATAAAATTGTTTAAATTTCTAGAATTAGTTCTTAGTATTGGACCGGACACTGATTTTCAGCAATTGTTTGTTTGCTTTTGTTTATTAATATGAATTGATGAGCAAATTTCGCCAACAAAAATCAAATTTCATTTTTTCTAATTCATAAACTCTATAAAATTAATATTTAGCACAATTTCAATGAACCTTGGTGGTGTCACAAATAAAATCAAGTATTCTCGTAAATGGAAGAGCGTATCATTGATATAACGAAATTTCATTTTTTCTAATTCATAAACTCTATAAAATTAATATTTAGCACAATTTCAATGAACCTTGGTGGTGTCACAAATAAAATCAAGTATTCTCGTAAATGGAAGATGGTATCATTGATATAACGGTGCCGTTAAAGAACTGCATGAAAAACAAAGTGTCAATAAATATCAGGATAATTAAATTAAGTGCAAAATAAAACCGAAGACTATTTCAACGAAATTCAAATGAAATGAAAATGTTTTGCTCGAGAATTGATTCGCGGATTCTGTGGTCTGTTTGCTGAACACAACTAAACTGTTTGTTTGGATAATAAGTTCTCTTGATTTGTGCAAAATTCTTATAAAACGTTCACTCAATTGAGTCCATTTATTGGCATTCAGTGATTGGCAGCACTGGATTAGGTGACAGTCGTGGCCAGAGTTGTGGTGGTATTCGTTGCCTTATGGAGAAGTTCACTATTGCTTTTGCAATCCTGTCGCTCCTCTTTGAACTTATTGTCACTATTCACGTCTGAATTGGACTCAAACTTGTGTTAGTCGTGGCCAGAGTTGTGGTCGTATTCGTTGCCTTATGGAGAAGTTCACTATTGCTTTTGCAATCCTGTCGCTCCTCTTTGAACTTATTGTCACTATTCACGTCTGAATTGGACTCAAACTTGTGTTCACTATTGAGTAAATGGCACTGGTCGTAACATAAATCCGGATCACCGTATGGTGTGATCGACGTTATCGATTAAATTCTCAACTTTTGTATTACAGAAAGTGCTTATTCTTTATAAATACTGTATTAGATTCTGTCATATCATATGGGATATGAATTATAATAAATTGCAAGTTAGCAAATACAGTATATTACTTTTATAAAGATTATTTTTACTTTTAACTGTAAAATAAAATATTTACAGAAAACATGAAAATCTAAATAAAACCACATTTAAAACAATTCTTACTAATTGACTGTATCTTGACAGTAAAAACTTACAAGTTAGTAAAATGAATGGTTTATGACCATACATTGTATGGCATACAATGAAGTGGTTGTTCACAACGTTACCTATGAATTGTTGCATTGATTTGTTGATATACAGCACATGTTTGGGTTAACACTTGTTTGGGTTAACACTTACTTTTAATTCAAATTTCATTTCATTTGACTATCACTTCAATCAATTAATATTCATATCAATGGATGACATGTCGAAGAATATGAACGAATCACTTGATTTACATTTAGTGATGAAATTGTTTTTATCAAAAGTCAATATATCACTCATTTGTCAATATTTGGTGAGTATTTGATCCTAACTTCAGGTTCTGAAGTGTTGAACGAAAACTGATCCAATCGAGAGTTATGTCATCACTTGACCACATTGTTTCTTCATTCACTAAAGGGTTATTACATTAAAGAGTTGTCGGAATGTCAACCACAACTGCTGAGGTTAACCATTGATCACCAATTGATGAGCAAATACCCGGTTTCACTGAAATACAGACAACTGTTTGCCAAACAATTGATAGCACTGTTAGAGAGACATGATTTGAATGTCTGCGAAGAGCTCTCTGTCACCAATGCTTCCCTAATATCATCAGCTGATCTCAACCCAAGTTATTATAATTTAAATTATTTAAGTTATATCTTAAGCGATGGACAAATAATTAGTTTACAAGAATCAGATAATTTAGTTATTGAAGGCACCACTGGTCTAAAGAGTTGGTCAGCGGCCAGACATTTGGTCCACTTCTTGGAATGCAATTCACATTTAATTGGAAACAAATGTGTCTTAGAGTTGGGCTCTGGTATTGGTTTGACTGGTATATGCCTTCTGAAGACATGCTCCCCATCTTCACTGGCATTCAGTGATCACCACTCAGTTGTGTTAGAAGTGCTTCAAAATAATATTCATATCAATAATGTCGACCACAAGAGTGCCGTATTTACTATAGATTGGGATCAAATGCAAAGTTTGGATAATTATTTAGTAGACAACGATCCCGATGTCATCATAGCATCGGATGTGGTGTTTGATCCCAAAGTGACCACCAGTTTGTGCGAAGTGTTGAATAAGTTATTAATGGATTGCAATAAACCGAGAATTTGTTATATTTGTTGCTCTCATAGAAGTGATACAACTATTGAACACTTTTCTACACTTATTACCGATAAATATAAACTCAATTTACAAGAAGTCTATTTCAATGATAACTCTAATGATTTAAAATCATTTTGTTTTGATTCACTTAATGTAAAAACTTCTGTATATAAAATAAATAATTGATAAGCCTCCAGGTTCTCCCAAGACTTAAATTTAAGTTAAGTTAATTTAAATTTAGGTTTTACAGTACCTTTGTCTCTAACATGTAAAATACAAACCATACCAAAATATTTTTTCTAAATTTTGTAACTTTATTTGTAAACTTGTTATAAAAAGTTATATTAAAATAAAGTAAGATTTTATACATTACGGTACTTTTAAAATTTATAATATGTGAAGAATTATATGTATAATAAACAATAAAATATAAATTATCAGTTTATTTATTCACCTTGCTTATTTTTGACAAGAAATTAATTTATTTAAAAGTTTAATGGCATCGTTTTGATAAATAATGTTCACATCATTCTCAATAAAAACTTAGTCGCTGAGTCTTGTGTCAAAACTTTAAACTATTGATTTATCTCGAAATTATCAGTTTATAACTTGACATTAGGCTTGATTTGTCTCTAACCTCAACTCCTATTGAGTGGAAAACACTTTATTCACTGATAAGTACTGTTCATCTGTAACTTGAATTACGTGTCGAACAATGAATTTATTAATTTGTATTTTATTAATAATAAATTGTGGTCTCATATCCTGTGGCCCTCTATTCTTTAGAGGCCGACCACTTACTAAACATGGAATGCTTGGAAGTCCAGTCTCTACAGACAATGTGTACTATAATTCCCTTAAACTTCCAGAAGACCAATGGTTTGACCAAAGATTGGATCACTTTAATCCAGTCGAGACCACAACTTGGAAACAAGTATTCACTTATCATTAAAATTGCAATAAATGTTTACTTTAAAAAATGATTTAACATTTGCAGCGATATTTCATCAATGACACTTTCTATACTAAAGGAGGGCCTATATTCCTGCAATTAGGAGGTGAAGGCATTGCAGACCCTATTTGGGTGGTTGAGGGACAGATTGCGGCCAATTATGCCAAAAGGTTTAGTGCCATGTCTGTCCTATTAGAGCACCGATACTATGGAAATTCACGGCCAACACCGTATGTATTTAACATGTATGAAATGAAGTAAAATATAAAACTAAATGAATTTAACATTTAGTGATATGTCTGTTGAGAACCTGCGATACCTTACGAGCCAACAGGCCCTACAAGACGCCGCCTCTTTCATTGATTATTTGACGACAAAATTATCGTTAAATGAGAGCCAATGGGTTGTATTCGGCGGCTCTTATTCGGGGTCATTGGCCGCTTGGTTTAGAGCCAAATATCCACACCTAGTGGTCGGTGCTATAGCTTCGAGTGCTCCCATTGAAGCCATTATCAACTTTAAAGATTACTTAGCAGTCGTTAGCGACTCTTTAGGCCAGAAATGTGATGACGCTATTAAAGAGGCCACAAAACAGTTGGCATTAGAATTAGAGCACCCGATGGGCTGGAAATCGATTGAAAAGCAGTTTAAACTTTGCGAAACTTTCAATGGGTCTGTCGATAGTGATGTCTATAATTTGGTCAGTACTTTGGCTGGGAATATAGAGAATGTGGTTCAGTATAATAAAGACAATCGAGACTTTGAGGTGAGAAATAGACGTTTCAAGAATATGTGTTCCCTGTTATATCAATTTTGAATAAATTATATAATCACTGTAATATAGGGCGCAAAGGGAACCAATATTACCATTGATGTGGTCTGTGATGTAATGACTAACACATCAGTTGGTACCACAGCTTTAGACCGATATATTAAAGTGAATGACATTATTCTGGAGGCATATAACCAGAAATGCGTTGATTTTAAATATGATAACTTTGTCCAACAAATGCGAAACACTGACTGGAAATCCAGTGCCGCTGCAGGAGGTCTGCCCTTCCCTTCAGTTACTTTTAACAACTTTCTTGCAATTGTTTATAAAATTTATGATTTAAATTTCAAACCAAATCAATCAACAGGTAGACAATGGACTTATCAGACGTGTGTTGAATACGGATTCTTTCAGTCATCAGACCTGACGGGTCAGCCATTTGGACCCTATTTCCCGGTCGACTTCTTCGTGCAACAGTGCGCCGACATATTTGGACCACAGTTTGACTTACAATTGCTTCAGAAGTCCGTCCAATTCACGAACAACTTTTATGGTGGATATGGACTTAAAGTACGAAAAGTATTGTTTCCAAACGGCTCTATAGATCCGTGGCATGCGTTGGGGGTCACCAAAGACTTGGGTCCCGACTCGAAGGCCTTGTATATCAACGGAACCGCTCATTGCGCTGATATGTATCCACAATCGGACAAAGATCCCAAACAACTGACTGACGCCAGAAATACTATAATTAAGACTTTGGAGGAGTTCTTAAGCAAACAATAAGTCTTAGGGTTTGACTATTTCTGATTATCTGTGTATTCATTATATTCTAACCATTGATTCCCATGAATATGTTATTCAAAATACAATACAATTAAATCAAACAAATTTGTGTCTATTTATTAGTAAACTATAACTTCGGAAACAGTTTTGATCACCAATTATGACATTTCTTGACATTACATGACAAGAGTTACCAATTAAACAGCAATTAGGTGTTTGGTCGCAAATATACCACTTAAGACTTTATAGTAAAATTAATATTGATTTTGTTATCATATATTATAGATATAGATATTAATAATCCATTAACTTAGTCCTAATATGTATCTAAATTATTCTAAATCAGCTAGGTAAAAATGAACAAAAATAATATTTGATGCAAAAATAATGACATAATGATTGAGTTATTAATAATGTAAATGATATGCAAATTGACAGTACTATACATGAGTTGATTATAAATATTGTAATAAAAGTATTAATATTTGAATATTGATTGCAAAGTGAGTGACAGAGAGAAGAGGTATTGAGTCGCATAGCGTTTGTGAGACAATCGCAGTATCTGTGCATTGAGTCAATGAGACAAACAGTGCGACAATGAGTTCAACACTCAATGTCTGACTCTATGTCTAAATTTGGCGCCAAATGTCACAAACAGACCATTCATTCAGTGATTGCATTGTTTTGATGAATGAGTCGTCAGTCGGAGTGCGCGTCCATTGAACTGATCCATCGATTGATCCATCGATTGCTTGTTGATTATGACCACAAATGACTCGCAGATGAGTGTGCAGTGAGCCATGGATTCAGACAATTGTGTGCCAAACGTGTCGGTAATGCAATTGCCAGCTCTTGTCTACAAACTATGTGCCAAACACTTGCCATCACTCGAAGAAGGTCTGCACCACTGTCACCACCAATGCATCCATTCATTACTCACTCTATGTTTGTCTGATCCCACAGAAGACGTGTCCAAACACTACTGGTTGTCATCGCAAGTACTTCGGGCGCCAAACGCACCGTTAGATGAATGCAATGAACTGTATTTGATGTCAAAACTGAAACAAAAACGTATTTATTATCTTAAGACATATCATATGAATGGCAATCAATTGAATCCAATTATCTGCTGACAGTTTCGCGTGATTTCCGCGACAGCGAAGGTCTTCGACTCGAAGAACTGTACCATAAGTTGAAACGAAACCCACAGTTATGTCGAAATCCGATCGCATTATTGGAGTTCTTGTACCGCATGTCAGGACCTAATGAAGAGGCCAACGCAGACTCATTGCAATCGTTGACCAATGGATTGGATCCGTTGACAATACAACCCATGTCTTCACTATCACCGATATCTCCATTGCGTTCAAACGGTGCCATAAATGGACACATGTTTCACGATTTGGCTCGACTTCTGCCCACAGACGACATGTCGAGCGCCAGTATTAACCACTTTATCGGTTCTTCGCCGACACGGCAGCCAATGCGGAAGAATAGATCGCAGACACGTCCGCATACCATACACTTTGACTCGAATAACACCAAAACCATTGTTTCCGAACAGGAGTTGATTCGCGAGATATTGTTTGCATTTCAAGGCCTCAACGGAAAGATCATAACCGCCGACGCCTCCAAAGACGGCATTTATGTCATTAATAGTCATTACTATATCCCGGCGTCGCAGCAGAAGCTGGCGCTCAGACTCACACACATGGGATGGCTGTTCAATAAGATCCAAAAGTACTGCAACTATATATCGAAAGAGAAGTCTAATGGACACGTGTGTCAGTCGTTCGCGTCGGCACTTCAGGACGAGATCCTCGAGTATTACCGTCTGATTACTGTCATCGAGGAGCAGATGCACGACAACCGGCCGGACAGTCCGCGCGTCACTTTACATCGACTGCAAGTCTGGAGTTACGACTCCTTCTTCAGACTCAAAGTGTTGGCCTCTTTGGTCGAACAGTGCAAACACAAGTCTGGAGGCGCTCTGGCGGGTGTCGTGTATCACGTGATGAGACACGGGGACCCCAACATCCGGGTCTGTTTGACACGAATTCTCAATCAAGTAGTGCTTCCAATCAGACGAATGTTGAGTCAATGGATATTTCACGGAGAGCTCGAAGACTATTACAAGGAGTTCTTCATCGCCACTAACAGACTCGGAGTCACTCAGACCTCTCCCCTCAGCTCTGCCTTCTGGCACGAGAGGTATGTGATCGTGAAGTCACAGTTACCCGGGTTTATAAGCAAAGCACAGGCAGACAAGATTGTGTCCACAGGAAAGGCTATATATCTGTTACATCAGGTCTGTCGCAACGAAGTGACGGCTCATATCCCGGGTTACGCACAGATGAAGGAGTCGTTCGAGAGCTCGAACTTAGAGTCGCTCTTCAATCGCAAGCAACTGAAGAACGACGAGCCCAACCACTTCCACATTCTTCTGGAGACCGCTTATAAGGAGATCAGTCGCACATCGCTTAAGATCTTGAACGAGAACTATAGACTTCAGGACCACTTCCGAGGTCTGCGACAGTATATGCTGTTAGGACAGGGAGACTTCATTCGCCATCTCATGGACATGTTGTCGCCCCAACTCAACAAACCGGCCAATCGGTTGGCCCGACACGCCGTCGTACAGCTCCTCGAGAGCGCCGTCAGAGCGACGAACGCACAGTTCGATGACCCGGAGATTGTCAACAGAATCGATATATTGCTGTCCGAGTCGACGATCAACGACTTGGGTTGGGATGTGTTTGCACTGACCTATCGAATAGACGGTCCCATTAGTACGATATTCACGAATGAGAGCCAAAAAGTGTATCCAAAGCTATTCAAACATCTCTGGAGGTCGAAGCGAATGGAATACATTCTGACATCGATTTGGAAAAATCTTGTTTCTTGTATTCGTCTCGAGAAACGGATCCCAAAACTGAAGTTCGCGTTCAACTCATTTCATATGCTTTTGTCTGAAATGATTCATTTCATCCGACAAATGGAGTACTACTTGACGTTTGATGTGATTGAATGTCAATGGAATGAATTGCAGACACATCTGAACGCCTCGCCCGACGTGGACTGTCTCATCCGATCTCACTGTCGATTTCTGGAGCAAGTGATCCATCGATCGCTTTTGGGAAACCTAACTGAAGACATATATTTGCAATACAGAGCTATTTGTGATTATATTCTCGAATTCCAAACACATGTCAACAGCTTTCTGAAGGCCACCGACACTGAGATCTCCTCACGAGTTAAGTTCGAAAGCGATCAGCAATTGTGTGAACAGAGGGGGGAGTGGGGTATAGTTGCCGCGGAGGACAGGGATGAGGAGCACCGCAGACAGGCCTTCGAGAACGACACCATTCCTAAAGCAATCGCCTGGATGGCTATCGTGACCCATAATTATAGAGATAATGTCCACAAGTTCTTAGTAATGCTGGCCGACCATCAGGACCGGGAGCTACAGGAACTCAGTTCTCGACTCGACTATAACGGCCACTACAAGAAGGAGTACTACTTGACGTTTGATGTGATTGAATGTCAATGGAATGAATTGCAGACACATCTGAACGCCTCGCCCGACGTGGACTGTCTCATCCGATCTCACTGTCGATTTCTGGAGCAAGTGATCCATAGATCGCTTTTGGGAAACCTAACTGAAGACATATATTTGCAATACAGAGCTATTTGTGATTATATTCTCGAATTCCAAACACATGTCAACAGCTTTCTGAAGGCCACCGACGCTGAGATCTCCTCACGAATTAAGTTCGACAGCGATCAGCAATTGTGTGAACAGAGGGGGGAGTGGGGTATAGTTGCCGCGGAGGACAGGGATGAGGAGCATCGCAGACAGGCCTTCGAGAATGACACCATTCCTAAAGCAATCGCGTGGATGGCTATCGTGACCCATAATTATAGAGATAATGTCCACAAGTTCTTAGTAATGCTGGCCGACCATCAGGACCGGGAGCTACAGGAACTCAGTTCTCGACTCGACTATAACGGCCACTACAAGAAGAAAGACAAACGCCTCGAGACCTCATTCACGTTCGCATCACATAAGCAGAGGTTATCCATCGATACGCCATCGAAATCCCAGTAATTATTTCATCGAATTCTTCCGGAGTCTTAGTCATAGACTTTAGATTATTTTCATTACAATTATATATAATTTTACTTTTAAATCGGTTTTCACTAAATTTGTTAATATTTTGAATTAATATTTTTATAATATATTTAATACTAATTATTAACACGATTTAAGCCCAAAGAGTTTGTTAGAGATTTCAGTATAAATTAAATTCATATCTCATTATCGATGAGCTCTTCCTTGTCTTTGGTGTCCACCTCTTCATCATCTTCTTTAATGTCTTGCGTTTCGAATTCGTTGTCAAAGATATCATTTGTGGCGAAAGTCTTATAAATGGAGTTATTGTAATCACTTCTATTGTAGAAGTATTTAAAAAGATCTAAAACTTCTTCGGCCCTCAAATCACCGAAATATTTGAAAACAGGAATTCCTTTTTTGATCAAATCTGGACCACAGTTTGGGAACCAATTCCTGCACAGAGGGAGGGGAGGGGAGAGACAGACATTAAATTTCATAGCAATATCATAGTAACACAAATGAATGGATTATATAATACTCTAAGAAAGGAATGATCCAATTCTTCCTCTTCATGAAGGTTTGTGTCACGAAATAGTAGTAATCCTGAAGTGTCTGACCGTCTAATTCATCCAAATATGGCTTCGGAGTCAAGCGAACGAGTAGTGAGTTTCCTTCAAACTAATCAATCGATAAATTAGTGTCAATTCAATGGTCGATGACATGAGTCTTACTTTTGGTTCCTTTCGATTGGATTCAGAGTCAGAATAAAAGCCGAATCGAGAGTAAGGAATAGTTTCGAGTTTCTCGACATCGAAGAGTGTGTTATAGATAACACTTATGGATCGGTATGTCCTGTACTGGCTGTCAGGTGTGGCACTCATATACTTGTACTCCTTCTGTGACACAAACACTAAGAACTGAGTTCTTCCGCAATTGAAGAACAGATCCTTTCGCAGCAATTGTTTGATTACAAAACGCATGAAAAGAGTTGAATTAATGGGAGATAAGACGGACACAAATTTGATGGTCGGCTCAGACCTCCAATCTCTGACTGGTATACCACTGAACCAACTGTTGATGTCTTCGCCAGAGTCCACGTCTTTGTAGAGAAGATTCGGTATATTTATTATCTGTTTATTAAATATTTGTAAACTTTTTGGAAATTGTTTCTTCATTTTCTATACAAAAGTCAAACAAAGTTTTGTCAGTTTTTCGGTGCACTTCACACACAATATACTGGTAATGGTCTCAACAGATGTCATCAATCATGGCATCAATCAAATGAAGACTTACTTTAAGTTTATCCAAAAATATTGGATTGTCTTCGAAGACCCGTACCTTTTGAGCGCCACTTTTGAGTAGATGTTTGGTGAGGAGAGCGGTTCCAGGGCTGGACTCGAAGATAACAGAGTTGTCATTTGGGAGGTCATCACTCAAGTGATTGGCCACCAATTCAACCAAATGTTTGTCTTTCAAATAGAGATACTGTTTGGCAATCCGTTGGAAACGCAACGAATCCGATGAACGCCTGGCCTTTGAATGACTTTTATCGGCAAACAGTCGTTGAAAACATCGCTCACATAGATTTGCATCCAATTTATGCAACAGTTTGTTGTGAAACAGGTATTTAAAAAACATTTTCTTAAAATCATTACTAAATAATAACTTTTTCAAAATGTATTTATTGTTTTAAATTTAGTAAATAAAAAACATATGACTTATGGCTTAACGCATGCGAACCAATCACTCAACTATGGGTTTGGCGTTCATTTCAAATGCTTTTATTAAATAGTTATTCATTAATAAATACAAAACTTATAAAATATGTCTATATTTTAACAAATTTAATGTTATGCAAACTTTTTAATTGTTTGATTGCATTAATAATATCCAAGATATCGATGTCTTGTTTCTGATGATCACAATAAGTGACCGCAAAGCATAACAATTGGAGTCGATTTTCGATGTTTTTATAGCTCTCATTGAGACCCAAATCTAGACATACTTTCCAACCGACGGTGTAATTGTTTTTCATAATCTGTTCGCACGAATTGAAACAGTGTTTGAAGTCTTTTGAATCTAAGGCCACGTTTGCACACAACGACAAAACGGTTCCGTTTCTGTAATCGCTGTCGAAATCACTGCAAACTTTGAGAAGTTGTGATATTTTCAGTATTTTTAATGTCTTTTGATACGCTTTTGATGACGATTTCAGGATCTTTTCAATCAATTCAAGTCTTGGCTGAGGAATGAGTCGTATTTGGATCGGCAATAGTTTCAGATCGAAGTTGTCTTCAATCAAATGCAAGCTTTCAATTAAATTCAGTTCTTCACTAATCAATGCATCCTTTTGTTGTTCCCTTTCATCGATCAGTTGAAGACATTCTTTGGCTAACACTATGTTGTAGTCATTCGCCGAATCCGATGAATTGATGTACTCCTGGGCCGCACTTATCAGCAGTTTTTTGGTCTTCTGAAAGGGAACCACTTTTTTCTTGTATTTGGTCTCAGAGTTCAGCTGAAGATAACCGGCCGCTAAACCGAAGTTCTCTTTTCTGGCCGAACAGAGCAATGTCTGGACGAAGACTTCAAACAATTGGTCTTCAGTTATGCAGTCCTTCAGACATGTTTTGCGCACTTCTTCTAAACTCTTAAACGTTTCCATCCATTCATTCACAGACAATGGTTTATCACTTTTAGCACAATTTCGAGTAATTCGAGTAAACAAATGCTTCACTCCTTCCCTATCAGTAGTGACTTCAAGATCTCGTATTTGGCTAATAGTTGGCGGACAGTCGTACTGCTCGATAATCTCTGCGGCGACCAAATAGATCTCGAGTTTATCCGCCAAACCATTCAATTCATTCAAACGCTTAATCTGATTGATATCGTTATTAGCAATGAGTGGAACCATATCTGGTTGTGGCAGACATTCCATGATTTGAAAGCACACCTCCAGTTGGTTGGGGTCTTCGGACGCATAAATACAATCGATTGCAAACTCAATCAAATCGGACGGCTCTTCAATCAAAGTGTTTTGTTTGGATCTTTCGATGGAAGTGTTACTTAAACTCGAATTTTCAAACACTTTGAGACAAAAGTTTAAATCACTTTTGGCCACAGAAATCAAATAATCTTTAAACAGTTCTCTTCCAATAGTTTGCATTTGTTTTGGATCTTCTTTGCAGACCTTTGCGATGAAGACTTTGAGATATTTCTCAACAAAACTCAAGAAGTGTTCATCACTTTCAAGCGCTCCACTCATTAAAACATCGATTTTCTGTTTATTGGAATAGTTCTCGAAATCTTCAAATTCAATCTCTTCTTCGTATTTGGATTCGTAAACAATTAACGCAAAGATATCGAGATCTGAATAAAGTTTCTCCAGATTTGGAACCATGTGTTTGATCCCAATATCAACCAAATCGAGAGCATTCATCACAATGGAAGTCAATGACAATATTTGTCGACTTCTTTCTAAATACCATTGCGTTAGCAATGATTTCGACAAACGATTGCTTTTATATCTCAAAAGACTTGTGTTTTCGGAATAAAATTCGGACTCAAATTGAGTGGTGTTTGTCGTGAAGACCGAAGGGAACCGACTCTCAACCCAATCCTCTTCTCTCAACAATATTTGGTTCCAATCGTAGACTTCATAGCCTTTGACTTTCGGCGAAACCACTTTCGGCAGAAGCGATGTATACCTCTTAGGGCTAAGGGTTTCGTCGATATTCGACAGAATCACTAACCGGTGATCCAACAGATCCGCCGATTCATAGGTCAAGAGAATGGAAACCGCGTTATAATCGGCATTACGGGCAAAATAGACGGACGCTTCCAGTGAAGACATTTCGCGGAATATTTGATAAAACTTATGGTTATATTTGCTGTTAATGTCGTTGACATCCCTATAACTCAATACCATTTCATAGACATTGAGGCGATCCATGTATTGCAAGAGACGTCTTCTCCAAATGCAGACCTGCTTTGACTCCAAAGACATGTCATTCCAATCCATTTCACTCTCCATTATGTCTCTCGCAGTCATCACCTCCTCATCAGTCGCCTCATTGTCTCCATCTTTGTGTTTGTCTTGCGATTGGATTCGAGAGTAGAAATGAGTGACGAATTTGTCACAAGTGGTGATATTGAGACCAAATTGGAGTAAATATTTCATTGAATCCAAGTCTTGTGCCACACATTCAACACATTCCCTCAAAATCCACAACTGTTTGGATATTTTACTCAACGACTCGTCGATTGTCTGTCGAGTGATGGGTGTCTTCCTCCACATCCGCTGATACACGACATCGCAGTCGAAGCCATAAGTGATGGCCAACTCGAGGGCCGACTCGAACTCATTGTCAGCCAAAGTCTTGTCGAAAAGTTCTTCGACTGAAAGTGACTGCAATTCATCGAAAGGGAACTTTTGGAGCAAATTATTGATAATCCGTTTCGTGGGATCAACACTTCGGCCACCCGTTAGCCGGTAAATGACGGATCGGATGGCATTCACACCAACGTAGAGATAATAGTTGAAGTAATAGTGAAATGCATGAAACCTATGGTGAAGAGACTTGTTTTCATCCTGATGGTCATCACTTATCGTATCATGAGTGGTGTCATTGGTTTGTGAAGTAAAGTGAGTGTTGGCGACAGCGTTGGCATGTCTTCGCCTCACAATCATATCATTTGTGTCCATATTTTCATAGAAACTGAACTGTAATTCACATATAAATCTAGTTTTCAATTCAATTCAATGATAGAGTCATTGGTTTTGCACTGTTTTGTCACAAATCGTGGCAAACATTACGTCATATTGTTGTGAAAAGTCTGTCACATACTGTATCAGTGATTATAATGCTAAGGCCTTACTTTTGAGTTATTTAACTATTTGTTGCGATATTCAAGAACTTCATGAAATTAATTATGCATATGAATCATGTAATAAGGGTCATTTTAAGAGAGTTTTATTTTAATTATAAATAACTAATCACTGATTACTAATTAGTGTGACTGTAAGCCACATAACTAGACTACTGTAGGATATCTAATTTATAGTACAGTATCATATACGATATGCAATTCATTAAAGCTAATTTAGTGACCACTTTAATCACACTAAATGTGCTATAGTTAGAAGTATATTAATAAATCACCAATAACTCACATATTTTCAATACTATCACTGTCATATACAGTATATTTTTAATTACGGTATATATTGATTTTTATATTGCTTTAGACTTATATGTGAACTCATTTATCATAAAATATAATTTTATATCATATACGAAATACAAAGTACTGTATTGTTAGAGAATTATCCATTTGTTTGTATTTAATACTGTAGCTCTTTAAATGTCAATTAACCTGGTTGAGTTCAAAGTTCTAACTTACTTATTACGGTAGAACTTTCGAGTTCAAGTAGAATTGTACACCAATAATTGGAATTAGAATTATTCTAGCCTAGCTCAGTTGTTTTTTAATGTTTGGCCACAATTCATATTACGGATACATTGCTGTTCTCATAGAATAGTATACTATTGAGAATATTATGGTTAGAGTAGAAATGAAAGGTTCAAATGTGTTCAAATAATAGATTTTATTGAATATATGAAACAAATCGGTATATTGTTATCAAATTAAAGATTTATTTTTAAATATATTTGTATTATAAGTACAATAATAATATTTATCCAAATATTCATCAACTCAAATGAAGACAAGTTTTCACTTTTATTTATAATTAGTTTTTATAATAGCTTTTGTGCCGAATATTGGATACAAACTATTTTAAGCATATTTCCAGACATTAGATAATAATAATAATAATGAAATTAAATAAACAAATTAAAAGAACTGATCACAGATTTAGTCCATATTTTGCAGTTTCTTATAAGAAAGCATTTCTTTTATCGATTATTGCAATCATTGGTTATTAATAGACATCGCTTTTGATGATCGAAACTCAATCGGAGATCATTAAAGTGTATTGACTTAAGAATATTGATGAAAGCAATGCTCTATTGGTTGGATCGATGAATGGGTGAGAGGTCTACGAGAGATGGAAAGAGAGCTGTCCCTCATTGATGGCGATCCGCAGCTTTTCGCGCATCACATCAATGGTCACATAATCGGGAAGTTTGAGATAATTAACACAAGTCATGACACTCGGCAGACAGTCCGGACTCTCCACCCCTTCGATAGTCTTGCGAACGATAGTCAGCGGAGGCGTCAGTGATCTGAACCCTCCGACCGGAAGTCGTGGCGATCCGCTCACAAACTGCAGGAACTTTCGCTGGTCTTCGACTGCATAAGAGCTCAGTATCTCAAAGAGGAATCGTATGGCACGGCTGTCGTGAGTGTATCCGTGATCTGTTTTACAGCACTCCATCAACATCTTTACGTCCCATTGCTTTTGATTACTTCCGCAGAACAACTGTTCCATCTCTTCGGCAAAGAACACCTGTAGGTGTGCTGAAGGGAACACTGAATCAAAGCCCTCCCGAAAGGCCTCCATTTGTCGGTTCACTCCTTCGACTAAAGTCCAGTGACATAACAAACGCACGTATTGTTCGATGTTATCGATGGAGACACCCATATCTCGACCGCCTTTCCTCAGCTCAATGTTTGGATAACCGGGTAGAGTGTAGTCGAGGTTACTTCGACTAAAGTCCAGTGACATAACAAACGCACGTATTGTTCGATGTTATCGATGGAGACACCCATATCTCGACCGCCTTTCCTCAGCTCAATGTTTGGATAACCGGGTAGAGTGTAGTCGAGGTTCAGGTCCTCAATACTACATCCGTGTAGTTTCAATGACTCCAGACTTTTCTCTTTATTCCCAGCGTTTGAGGATTGCTGTCATTGACAACGAAAATATTGTTAACTTTAATCCCAAGACATAAACAAATTAACAAAACATACGATTTTGAGCTTTTGTTGCGCTATTTTCTCCATTTCGACGACAGACCGGGAAAACGTCGAATCGATTTGTTGCATATCAGCGATACTGAGAGACAACTCCTGAGTGAGAAGCCATTTGTAGAAAATAGGACTCAAGGGAATGTCGATCTAAACACAAATCCAATTATTACTATAGTTTAAGAATTCAAAGAAATATTCATCGAGTCATTCATACCATTCGTGAGTCCATAAGAGCTTTGGCCACAAATTTTCCTAAAAGTTTGAATCTTTGGCGAGATTTGGTGATCTGTCCCGCTTTGGTGGTGCGACCCATGGGTGCCGGAAACAGACCAGAAGGAGAATATATGTATTGGACTGACGGCTGATTGGTTTGAATTTGATTATTGTTTTGGTTTTCATTAGCAGTTGTCGAAGAAGTGGCGGTTATCTTATGGTTGGGCTGATGGACGACTACTTTGGGTGCGGAGACGGCTTCTCCCCTCCACATGTATTATATATAAATACGAGATATTTATTCACAGTTAATACTAATCTAATAAATCACGAGCAAAGGCACCAAAAATCATAAGTAATAAATTTGTGGCGAAAAATATTTTTGCGATGATTTCTCGTAGCTATACATACATTGGGTTCAGTAATGCGATCTTATACGCGATATACACACCATAAGTGACCTTTTGGATTATGTGTCAGTCAGGTTTGTAGTATCTGATTTCAAAATAATATTTGAAGTATTATAAATATATATGCTATGGCCACAGATAGACACGCGCAAAAATATTTATTATATAAACAAATATTATACTATCTATTCATTCGTGACTTTCTCTGTCTCTCTATCTATCACTAAATATGATTGCATTTCATAT